GGCTAAAGTGGTGTAGTGGTAAGTACATATAAACCAACTTAGAACAAGGATACAGGGGTTACAAGAAGGAGAGAGAAGCTGGAGACTGCATGGAAAGTATTGTTCAACGGCATGACGTCGGTGGCTCTGCTGCTGGCCTCCTAGCGCCACAACATCATGGGGACATAAAGGACGAACTCAACAACTCGAAGAAAGAGTAATTCACCTAGTTGAGGGACCCGCGGACCTCCTAAGGGTGCGGACTGAAGCGCAATTGGCACCGAAGGAGTTGACCTCGGCGACCTATTAAGGCTCAATCTTGGCGCGGTGGGCCAGTGCACGCCCACCGATCATCTGATCACTCGCCGCAGGTCTATACGTGGCGAGTGATTAGATAGGTGAGAGAGCGTAGTGTTGAAGAGGGCACAGCGATGATAGTCGCATCAATGCTCAAATCAACGGGCAAGGAAGGGGTCCCATTTCTCGGGTTCTGGGCCGTTTCTCATGGTTTTTCCTTCTTTCGTGTACCACTCACCATCCGCTAAGGTTAATTTGAAATGGGTTGCCTTTCCAGCGTGAATTCGTCCTTTACATGAATTTATGGATGCTACAGTGCGCCTCAGTTCGAGTCCAAAGTGGCAAACAGTAGCCCGTGCAATCTTTCTCATCTTTTCCAAAATCTTGAATATTTTAAGGTATATTCGCCTTGAACGAGTTGCAGTGTCGTAATGAAAAGTTATTCTACCGAATTTTGAGTGAAAATGTCAAGGAATTGATGCCTATTGTGTACACTCCTACAGTCGGCTTGGCTTGCCAGGAATTTGGACATATTTATCGGCATCCCAAGTTTAGTCCGTTCTAGTATTCTTCTATGTTCCTGATTCTCAGAAATCACCCCATATTTCCTTCTTCCAGAGGTCTCTATATAACGATCAATGACAACAGCATTAGCAAATTTATCAAATTCTATGCAATTGGCCAATATCGACCGTACAGGTAAGGGCAACCAGTAGTTTCCATAAATAGAAAAAATGATTTGAGAATCCTGTACCCCCCCAATTTGGTCCTGCTTTTTTCTCTAATTGCTACCGTTACTTTCACTTCCGCATATTGGCCAAAAAAGTGAGCGCAGTTGCGCACGACATTTGGGTTTTATTAAACCGATCTTTATTTTTTGGAGTTTTTAGCTTCCTATTGAATTTCCGGGAGAATTGTATTCTATTCGCTTTCTTCTTTAATTGCACTGAGATCCATTGTAGCGAGATTCCAACCCGCACTTTCCAGGCTCTATGAATCAGCCTTTCATGACCCGCATCATCCCCCTACGGACGTGAAAGCTGGGAAGATAACCGTACAGCAGGAGATGAGTTTGGTGTCTTGAGATAGAAGTGCCTCTTCCAGCAACATCCGCAGAGCACCCTCCTCAGGCTCAGTAGGCCTTCCAGGACTTGGTCTATCTCTCGAGTCGAAGTCAAGTGTTTGGATTTTCAGTGGTCAGACTAGCGCTCTTCATGCAGGCTCTAAATATTTACAAGAAGTTGCTGACCTTCCTGATCGCTGCCGCTGCTCTATCTCTTCTTTTTCCTCAAGTTTTAGTTCGTCACAGAAAACCTTCATTACTTATGGGATGGCCAGGTCCTACACAGGTTTTTTTTTAATTTTTGTGTATATTTTGCCGAATGTTCCCTTCTAGATGTTTCAAAATCGCAGCGATTTGAGTCGAGCATAGTTTCAATTTGGCACGAGGGACAAGAAAGGGTACATTCCCATCTCAGCTACTAGCGAACCGGGTCCTCCTGCTCGCTCACCATTGCCCTTTTCAGTGCAATATGGGAAACGCACATCTTTTTTGGGATGGGCCAACAAGAATTCTGCCATTTTCTTTTGAAATTTTTCTTTATCTTCTGATATTGTAACAGTACTTCAAAGAGGCAAACTTGCGTTAGTGTGATTAATTTATTTTATGAATTTATATTTATAATATTGAATTGAAATTAATTAAATCATAAATTATATATTATTTATTTATTATTTACCAATTGAAAATTTAATTTGTAAAACGAATGAGTGTATGTAAATGTGTAATTTAAGTGCTATGAATTCGTCTCAACATAACTGCTCATTGCAACGCACAGGCCTTTGTGACAACATTGATTGTTTTTCTTCTGCGTGAATTAACGGCACCAGCTTACACATACACCTAACAGCAGTTGTGGTTGACTGATTGTACTCGAGTAAACAGTTGCGGCACATTTGTTTGGTGCTTTATGGAAGGAGAACCTTCAAATATGAAATACTAATAAAATAAAATAGTAAATAAATAGATGGAAGAGCTGTGGTCCCCGCTGAGTAGATCGCCAGCTGTGGACTATCAAAGTATCAAAGTAAATAAGTAAGTAATAAATAAATGCAGGGGTTACATTTTTCAATATTAATAAGACCATGCTGGGAGTATACAAGTACACGTGTTTCTGGTGTGACACCCCCCCCCCCATTCCACGGAAGTCTCGATACAACCTTTCCCACCCCCAAGAAACACAAACTAAAAGATTGTTGCTATGGTGTTTGATACTGAAAATAAGACAAGTCGACAAGGTCCAGCACCTTGGCGAGGCGGGAAGGGGCGAAGGTGTCCAAAAAAACGACAATTCCTCCAATTTTGTTCATTTTACCCAACGTTTCTAAACTTGTATTCAAAAATGTCAAGAACCTCGTCAAACGGCACCCCCTCCTCTATCATCGCTACACGATGATTCCTCCCAGCCCCATTTCCAAATTCCTCTAAAAATCTCAGATACGGCTGCTTCTTGCTGTCATCATAAGACACTAAAACTAGTAGTCTACCCTCATAGAAGAACCCAAACACAAATTTGTCGTTTATATATACCAACGGATGGCTGACCTTGTTATGCCGTAGCAGAAGTAGGTA